GGGCGCTTATTTGAGGGGAGGCACTAATTCTAGGATTTACAGTAGTCCTTTTCACAGTTCAGTTTTCTTTTTTTGCAATATAATGTAAATTATTTAACATGGATGCATGGCAATTACGAGCAGAAACTGCAAAACTGCTTCTCACTGATGTTAGATTACATAGTGGTGCAAATAAGAAAAATAACCATGAAAAGAGCTAATTTGTAGCTGTGTTCCAATTAACAGGAATTACTGTATTTTACTTTGTATCTAGTGAGTTGGACAAAAAATTTCCTATTACTGGTTATTTTAAAAAGATTTAGACCTTGCTGTGTACAATTGCCATATCTGTGGAAACTACCAAAAGAGCCCTCACTGCCCCTTGACATGATATTTCTATGAGTTGCAGAATTGAAAATGTACTTACTCGTGTTGGTTGAAATCCATACATGGGAGGAGATGAACCTCTTATAAAAACCCGCTGGGCACCTCCCAACGGTCGACCTATAACACAAAATCACAATGCTCACTTCAAAATGTGCTGACATTGTGTTGTGTTCTTGGGCAAGACACCTTACTCTCACAGTGCCTCTATCCACCCAGGTGTATAAATGGGTATCAGTGAACTTAACGCTTGGGGTAACCAGGCTACAATGGACTAGCATCCCATCCAGGGAGGAGCAGAAATACCCCTAGTCGCTTCATGTTACCGAAACCGGGATACGCTCTGGCCTGATGGGCCACTTGGCTTGTATCCAAACTTTACCTTTACCTTACAATTACATGGTAAAACTCTCTAAACTTGATGACATGAAACAAAAACAACAAGTCTTACAGTCATTCTAGTTGAGGAGCACAGGTTGATGTAAAATACACTTATGTTAAGGAAGGGCTTTTAAATTTTTAAGCAACTTCTTGGAATTTCACTGAGTGCTTGATCTAGTTTTTGAACAGATAATACACACTGTAATATGCTGCATAGAGCATATATACAGGATGGCTTCTTAGTAAATTTCATGATGTGATACATTTTTAGGAACTTAGGATTCTTGAATTATTAAGTAACCTTTTTTTAATAATTTCAATTGACAAGACTTATTGTTTATGTGTTACTGGTTGTTACAGCTATACCTGTTGTGGGTCTTGTCAACATGGTCTTGGATGTAACTGGACTTGATGTTTGCCTGTCAAGACAATAACCACAGTTGACACATGTATTGTTTCATGGTGAGAAAACTGACTGAATAAGTTGTAAGGATTAAAAAACTTTTCATTTCAAGTGGTCATTAAATTCATCAAGTATATGTAGTGGATATTGTACCATTAACTTCGGAAAGCAACGACCCCCCAAAAGTAACGTCAAACAGTTGTGGCCACTAGTAAATCCCAAAAGTAGCAACCCTCCTGAAAGTAGTGACCTCCCAACCTGAACCTTCCAACAATTATTCACGTCGCGTAATAGTAAGGCAGATAAAGTTGAATAAAAAGCACAAATGGTTGCGAACAGGATACAACTACAGTGGGCCATGTGTCTGAAAGCTTAGCTGAAGTTCTGCACCAGCCATTGCTGCATATCCAGTCAAAGAAAAAGAACACAGTATTGATGTACAACAAAATTCTCAGAACTGAAATTAAAAGAAATGTATTGCAACATATAAGGAGAATTTATATTTTAATCTTGGAACCTTACCTGGGCCCCCTCAGAGCTGGAGAAGACTTGGGTCTTCTTCCGTCTAAACCTTCCATCCACCCTGGGAGTGGAACAAATGCACGCTTCACAGATGAACTGCTTACATCCCGACCTCCAGCTAGCCATCCATCTGCCTGTCTGAATGGAACTGTACCAGGGTGGGTGGGTGAAGAAGGTCGCTGTGGGGGTGGGGAGGCTGCATTTACCCTTGTTGTGGCACTCCCCACCCTAGAAGGTATTCCACTGTTGCCAGCCTTTTTGATAACTTCTGGTGTCTTCCAAGCATTTATTCTTGCATGTTCTGTGAAGGACATCATCTCTTGTAGGCCTCCAGATTCAACAGCAAAGTACTGACCACTTTCTGAATCAAGGTCATCTAACGAGTGCTCATCTTCATCAAGACTACCCTCCATGAGAGGTGCTTCCTCTTCCATTTCTCTGCTGAAGAAGAAGAAAAATAATCATGTGCCGATAGGCCTTTTCCAAGTTTCTTTGCGACTCTGTTTCGAAATGAGTTCTCAAACAAAACCTTTGATTATAAGAAAATGAGTTTTGTTTGCATGAAAATGAACACGTGAGGCAGGACACACGTTCATACGAATTTCATATGAATGGTTTCGCACGAAGACTCGTTTTGACACAAAGGCAAAAGGCAACTTGGAATAGCCTGTTGTGATGTTCCAAAAAGTACCCATAAAGCAGTTCTTAAGCCGGGTCTGGGGCAGGCCCACTTCTTGCAATGAATCAAGGATTTTCCTCTGTCTGAGACTAGACTAATATTGACAGGGGTCAAATCATGCAGCAATGACGGATGTGATTAGGCAAACTAGCCTGATAAAATATTTGGGTCAGGTAGCAGCTCTTGCAAGGTCTCTTAGGGCTGTGCTATAGAAGCACCTGGGTGCGACAGTCGACCAACTGTTCTTCAGGTGCCTGGAAAAACTTACTTTTTTTTCATATAAACTAGTGCTGGGTACCCAATATTTTGAAACATCAGGTTAGGAACCTTTGGGCTCCCCGTAATTTTTCTTAGACCCTAGCCTTGTCTCACATGAATGGCTTGATATGCTTTGAGAGAACAATAAAACAAACAGAAACAACGCCAGTAGCCCTAAAACAATATATAACAGCTACTACACTAGGACGACAAAGAGAATTCAAGCTTACATGGGCTGCTACACTTCTGAAATATTTACTTTACAAGCTCAGTGCTAAGCGTCTTTGGGAAAAAAGTGTACCCTATTCTGGGTGAAAAATCTTTATAGACACAAGCTTTTGAAAATTGTTGGAGAAATTATATGTTAAGTAATTTGAAAGATAAACAGAAATCTTTTGAATTTCCCACTGCCATTAAATGGAGCTAATCCATCAGAGCCACAAAAAAAAAACGTATGAAAAAACTACATAACAAGTCTTTCATTCTATAAGAACACATTTAAATTTGTAACTGAAGAACAGATAAGGCTATCATGTCGACACAGATCTCTATTTAATTTTTTTGGGTGTGAATTTGCAAGCAAACTTCAGATCTTACTTTTGTTAGACCAAATATTGCTTAACCTTACTAACTTAACAATCTACGGTGTATATTCTTTAACATTTACACTCTTACATGTTAGTCTCAATGTCTTCTTCCACAAGTTCGCCATCTACCAGCAAAGGCACACATCAATAAATTAACATGTAATTTAACCACATGATAAAATTGGAATTGTTTAACCCAGCACTTGAGCAAAAAATCATCTGTAGCAAAATCGCAACCCAAGTTCAATGTTACAAATGACTAGTCAAGTTCACAAGTGATTGAAGTCCTAAGCAGGATTGTGTTCTTACTCCATGATGGAGGCAACGTGGCCAAGTGGTCAGCGCATCGGACTCACAATCTAGTGGTCCCGGGTTTGAGTCCCGCTCTGACCACTACCTGGATTGTTTCACGGTAGCCCGGAGTTCAAATCCTTGCCCACGCTTGTAAACAGCCAACTGGTTTGCCTCTGGCCAGTTGGGATTCTTAACAATGTTATGTTCAATATGAACGATTTTTTTCAGTTGTTTGCTCCGCCCCACTGGCCTTTGGTGGTAGGGGTAAATAACAGTTATTTATTTATTTTTATTATTATTTTTTTTTTGGATGGAGTACATCCCCATAAGATATCAGCACGGCTAAATACAAGTGATAATCCCCACACTCAGTTCTTAGATTAGAGAACAAATTAAATGGTCCAAATACTATTAATAACAGCCATGTCAGTGCCTTAAAAACTAAATCAACCAACTTTTTGTACCTTTAGTAGATTCAGAGTCAGCATTAGCTGTAACCTCAGAGATAACAACTGGGCTTGCCTAACAAGTAGAAACTAAATATGAATTATGTGATAAGAACTCTTTGTTGGCACAACATTGTGCACAAAACAGTCACGAATTTGATCTCGATGACGTACAGATCTTGGACTGCTGTTCACAGTGGTTGCGAAGATTTGATGCGTGACCAGAATTCTATTAATGAGCACATCCAGATTCCAGACATGTACACTTTTTTCTTCGCAGGAGTTTGTTTTCATGGGATTTAATTCTCACAAATTGATGAAATCTCTGCAAAATTTGCGAAAATTACATCCCACGAAAATTTCATGCCACACAGTAAGCTAACCATGATGCCAACTGTGTTGTGTTACTATCTCCTTAATTACCTGATCATCCCGTTCATCCAAGGCCTGTTCATCTTCCTTGTATCCTTTTTCATAATAATTGCCATTGATATCAGACTCCTGGGAACTTATCCACTGCACATCTGCTTCTTGCAAGCACTCACGAACAATTGATCTCACATGATCTGTTATGACAGTCTCCCCTGAAAAGCAATGCAAAATCCCAAACTTACCGTTAGTTCCTTGTGTCAAGCATCTGACTTGTTAATGGAAGGCGTAGCATTGAAGTGATTGGCTTGCAGATCTCTGCACTGAGGAGTCTGGATTTCTGCCCATCCCAGGGTCTTGGAGAAGACTTTTCGCTTTATTGCAAACTTGGGACTGAAGATGCTGCAGGCAGCAGTGCTCAGGCTGTCTGTAGCATCTTCAGTCTCTAGTTTGCAATTAAGTGAATATTAATTTTAGGTCTTCTCCAAGACCCTTGTAATGGGCTGAAATCCAGACTCTTCAATGTAGTGGTTTGCAAGCTAATCACTTCAATGCTATGCCTCCCACTAACAAGTTAGTACAAGCCTCAATTAATAACTTGAAAAAACATTTCAGTAGAGGTAAAGAATCTGTCCTATGGGCACCCAGTGATAAAGGTAAAGGTAAAGTCTGCATACAAGCCAAGTGGCCCATCAGGCCAGACCTTTTCCCAGTTTCTGTAGCATGAAGCTACTAGGAAAATTTAGAGCTACTCCCCTTGGATGGAATGCTAGTCCATCACAGGGTTACCCCCTGCATTAAATTTGCCGGTACCCATTTAGACACAGGGTGAAGAGAGGCACTGTGAGAGTAAAGTGTCTTGCCCAAGAACACAACGCAATGTTACCAGCCAGGGCTCAAACCCGGACTGCTCAACCCTGAGACAAGTACACTAACCATGAGGCCACCATGCCTGCACATATCCAATGATAAATCTAGAGCATTAATGTTTTTCTATGTTTTGTCACCTGTTGTTAAAGGTTCCCCTTGATATGGTGTAGCATTGCTACTGTAGGCTCCTGGGAGATCAACTCTGAGTTGAAGATTCTGCCTGATAGCATCAGATAGAAATTGAGCAGGTCCCTGAAGTCAATTAACCTGCAGTTAGTCAATTGTCACTTAGCCAGTCAATCAATCAGTCTGTCTATCTGTCATCCTGTTTGTCCATCAGTCAGTCAGTCAGTCAGTCAGTCAGTCAGTCAGCCAGCCAGTCAGTCAGTCAGTCAGTCAGTCAATTAATCAATCAGACAGGCAGCTGGTTAATATATAACTAATAAGCCAATTGGTTTGTCCAATGCTCAGTCAATCTATTGATCAGGCATTCAGTCCATCAGCCAGTTGAACAACCAGTTAATCACTCAGTTACACCGTAAGTCACTCAATCAGTCAATCAGCTATTANAAATTTGCCGGTACCCATTTAGACACAGGGTGAAGAGAGGCACTGTGAGAGTAAAGTGTCTTGCCCAAGAACACAACGCAATGTTACCAGCCAGGGCTCAAACCCGGACTGCTCAACCCTTAGACAAGTACACTAACCACCATGCCTGCACATATCCAATGATAAATCTAGAGCATTAATGTGTTTCTATGTTTTGTCACCTGTTGTTAAAGGTTCTCCTTGATCTGGTGTAGCATTGCTACTGTAGGCTCCAGGGAGATCAACTCTGAGTTGAAGATTCTGCCTGATAGCATCAGATAGAAATCGAGCAGATCCCTGCTAAAAGAATACGATTAAAATGTTAACAAGTCAATTAATCTGCAGTTAGTCAATCGTCACTCAGCCAGTCAATCAATCAGTCTGTCTATCTGTCATCCTGTTTGTCCATCAGTCAGTCAGTCAGCCAGCCAGCCAGCCAGCCAGTCAGTCAGTCAGTCAGTCAGTCAGTCAGTCAGTCAATTAATCAATCAGACAGGCAGCTGGTTAATATATAACTAATAAGCCAATTGGTTTGTCCAATGCTCAGTCAATCTATTGATCAGGCATTCAGTCCATCAGCCAGTTGAACAACCAGTTAATCACTCAGTTACACCGTAAGTCACTCAATCAGTCAATCAGCTATTAGACCATCAATTAGTCAACCAATAAGTCAACTCATCAGTCAGTCAGTCAGTCAGTCAGTCAGTCAGTCAGTCAGTCATCAGTCATCAGTCAGCGAGTTAGTCAATCACTCACTCATCAGTCAGTAGAACAAAACAAACAAAGTCAGTAATAAACCATGTTAATTAAGCTAGTCATACCCTGCCACTCCTTGTGTCAATAGGTGCACTCCTGGATCCTAAAAGCAAGTAGGCAAGGCAAATTATTGGAACACTTTTAAGAAACTGTTTATGACTCAAGTTCAACTTGTAAAGTAGCAAAACTTTGAAACACTTCTACACTAACCTTTACGACTTCTGACCTCTTGGAATTCCCTGACACAAACAAGGGATTACCTACTGTCAGTAAATTTTATTACTGTTGCTTAGTTATTTTTATATTAAATTACAGAATTGAATAAACTGTAAGTATACACAATTAAATTGACTTTTTTTTAAGTATCAAATGATAGCCAGAACTATCCACAATAAAAATTAATTTCACAAAAGGTCCTTATATGTGTGAAAACGTAATGGTGAAAAACAGTGTTTCACTGCACTACTGCTACAGTTTGAAGTTTCAGAATACATCAATGCCTCCTATGTGATTATTACATCACAGTCCAACTGAATGTGGTTTGTTCGATCAAAAACCAAATCTCACATGAACTATAACATGTTTCCAAGTTCAAGTCGCCAAACATGTGACCTCATACATTCCCAAAGGCCTCTGAAGACAATAAACACTATATTACTAACTTTGAATAAGACTGTTGCTTCCATGTCTCTGATGCAGGGTCCCACTTGATATCCGCAAAATCAACGTAAGTGAACTGCTGATCCAGGTGGCCGATGGGATAGTCTGCCTGCTGGAACTTTGGTGCTGAAGGAGTAGATGTGTATGTTAATATTAACTTTTTTACCACAATTACTAAAAAAAATTGTTTCCAAAAGGATAAAAAAACCAAACATTTTTTATTAAATCACACGCATGTTAACATAGCCTGATGCAGACTTGGGAGAAAGTCTGAAAGAACTCTGACAATGTTTATGAAATTCCTAGCTGAAGGTAATCCGAGTTTACATAAGACTTTTGAATTCTCCCACACTTTCTTGAGTATTTTTACCAAGTTAATTAACCAGGGAGAAACTACTTTTTTCAACAAAACACAGCCAGCAAAGCAAAATTGTGTTTACATAACCTCACGCAAAATGATTTGTCACAGTGTTGACAAAGCTCATCAGAACTTGCATTACATGACCGAAATCTCCATAAGTGCAATCCAAAGTGACAGCTCAGCATAAGACCTTATTATGTGCAGAGTTGAACTGCAATTAGTTGTTCAGAAAAATGACATACAGTACCTGCCACCGTGTCTAACTGAATCAAGCCCATGTTGAACTCAGGAATGGCTGCTAGGCGACCAAATGTCTGAAAAAATATTCATCATGCATGTCTGTCAAGAAATGTCTAGTACTTGTAAAATTACAGAAAAAAAAGATATTTTGCATTAATTATAAGAGCTCCATTTATTGTGGATCTTCATTACTACCTTTGGGCAAGAAAAAGCTCCTCTTAAGAAGATTTAATTATAGCGGTAGCAAAACCTTTATTCATTGA